GGCAGAGGCTTTCAGAGGCCCTCTGTGGCAGGTTCCTAGGTTGTTTCCTGTTTTCTTCTTCTGGCTTTCAGAGGCCCTCTGTAGCATACATTTTTTTCTTTATTAATTACAGTTTATTCACTTTGTATCCCCCCTGTGATTCCCTCCCTCCTCCTGTCCCATTCCCTCCCTTCCTCCACCCTCTGCATGCATGCCTCTCCCCAAGTCCAGTGATAGGGGAGGTCTTTTCCTTCCTTCTGATCTTAGTCAATTAGGTCTCATCAGGAGTGGCTGCATTGTCTTCTTCTGTGGCCTGGTAATGTTGCTTCCCCCTCGGGGGGAAGTAATTAAAGAGCAGGCCAATTAGTTCATGTCAGAGACAGTCCCTGTTCCTATTACTATGGAGCTCACTTGGATAATGAACTGCCATGGGCTACATCTGTGCAGGGGTCTTAGGTTATCTCCATGCATAGTCCTTGGTTGGAGTATCTGTCTCAGGAAAGACCCCTGTGCTCAGATTTTTTGGTTCTGTTGCTCTCCTTATGGAGTTCCTGTCCTCTCCAGATCTCTTTCCCACTTCTTTCTTAAGATTCCCTGCACTCTGCCCAAAGGTTGCCCATAAGTCTCAGCATCTGCATTGATAGTCTGCAGGGCAGAGCTTTTCAGAGGACCTCTATGTCAGGCTCCTGACTTGTTCCCTCTTTTCTCCTTCTTCTGATGTCCAGCCTCTTTGCCTTTCTGGATAGGAATTGAGCATTTTAGCTGAGTGAGCTATCCCAGAAGCAGAAAGATGCACATGGTATATACTCACTCATATAGACATATAATATAGGATAAACCTACTAAAATCTGCACACCTAAAGAAACTAATCAAGAGGGAGGACTCTTGCTAAAATTGCAGTTTTTAAGAACAGCCAAAGTATATTGGGAAGTCATCCATCTTGGGCAAGTTAGCTGTCAGGGTACATTTAAGATAGGAAGAACTTCCTCATGGTTTACAAGCTAATTTTTTTTGTCTTTGCAAATCTTTCAACACAGTAAATTATTATTATGTTTACCATCACACTTTTAGCATTTTTCACACTGGCACATCTAACAAATGTTGAATGATTCCATTGGTGTGGGCATGTTGAGAAATGTTTCCTAACTTTCCAAAACCAATGTTTTAGAATTTAAAGTAGTCACTATTTGTGCTATAAAGTACTTGGCATTATATTTTTTAAAAACTTATTGTAATACAATCTTTCATAAAACAAAACTATAGATCATAAAAGAATTCTATTGATCAAAAGCTACTGCCAAGAAAAAAATATTCTCTTTGACAGTTCATGAAAATATTCCAGGATGTCTGTCTTCCCACCACTGTTGAAATAGTGACTACACTTTACCAAAAAATGGTTTATTCAAGAGATTTTGTTGACTAAACAAAATTTTCACTCTTGTGGATTAGTTTTACTCATTGTTGTTGGTAGTCAGAAAATGCTTTAGAAGTTTTGTCCCATTAAGTCATCAATGTGGGCATCAGTTGTCATAAATCATTTAGTGCCATTCTTTTACAATCAAAGATGATAAAATTGTCAGATAAAATTCTATGGGAAAAAAATAACCTCTAATTCTGAGCTGCTATAAATACCCAAGGGCATAATCACATTCCACCACCCTCATCATTATGAAAGCAAACACAGTGTGCTCTCTCTTTATGAGTACAAAGACAATAAAACAAAAGAAAAATATTTAAAAAATGAAGAAAGTCGCACATACAATTGAAAGCCATGCTTTTTTACAAATTATGTATGTGAAAGTGGTATGTAAGATGCTTCTGGGATAGTAAATTTAACCTTGAAATGGTATTATAGTGAGCTAATTCATCATAAGTGGCACTATAAGGTCTAAAAAGAGAAGGTCAATCAATGGCCAGAGCCTTGCTGAAGAAGTGAGAGCTACCTCAGACTCTCTGGGTGAGGGCAATCAAATAAGCTGAGACTGTTGCGGTGTCAGTGTCTTCCAATGTGAAGGCAAAGAGGGCGTGAGAATCTGCATGTAAATGTACCCTGAAGGTCTAGAACAGTAAAGTGAGAAGCAGTGGTGAAATTCTGAAAAAGCAGAGTTCCTGTCAGGCAGCTAACCATGAAATAAGATAATTCTTCTATGATAATCATGGAAAATACTTTCTGAATTTATATGAGTTTTCCACTAAGTTTTCAGTATGCTTTTGTTCAGTGATCATTTTTATTTAGTTAGTTTCTTTTCCTTCAAATGGTAAGATAGAAAAACAAAAATAAAAAATAATATCCATAGAAAAATAATAAAATCTGTTTGGTGGCTCCTCAGAAAATTAAAAATAGCTCTACCTCAAGACCCAGCTCTACCACTCTTGGGCATATACCCAAAAGATGCTCCACCATACCACAAGAACAATTGCTCGGCTATGTTCATAGAAGATTTATTCAATAGAGCCAGAAACTAGAAACCACCCAAATATCCCACAACCAAAGAATGTATAAAGAAAATGTAGTGCACTTACAATGGAATCCTATTTGGGGAAAAAAGGGGGGTACATCATAAAATTTGCAGGAAAATAGATGGAACTAAAACTATCATTCTGATGAGGTAACCCTTTGTTGATGATACTCTCTTTTTTCCATTGTATGGTTTTGGCTTCTTTGTCAAAACTCAAGTATCTGTAGGAGTGTGGGTTTATTTCTGGGTCTTCTATTCGATTGAATTGATACACCATTCTATTTCTATGCCAGTACCATTCAGTTTTTATTACTATTGCTCTGTAATACAGCTTGAGATCAGGGATGGAGATACCTCCAGTCTATCTGCTGTTGTACAGAATCGTTTTGGCAATTCTAGTTTTTTTTTTTTTTCCATATGAAGTTGAGAATTTTTCTTTCAAGGTCTGTAAAAAATTGTGTTGGTATTTTGATGGGAATTGCATTGACTCTGTAGATTGCATTTGGCAGGATGGCCATTTTCATTATGTTAATCCTACTAATCTTTGAGCACAGGCGATCTTTCAATCTTCTGATATCTCCTTCAATTTCTTTCTTCAGGAACAACTCAGACACAAAAAGAACATGCATGGTATGTATCACTTATAAGTGGATATCAGCCATAATGTATAGGCAAACCATGCTACATTTCACAGACCCAAAGGACAAGGAGGGCCCAAGAAAGAATGCTTGAATCATACTTAAAAGGAGAAATAAATAAATAGACATCTGAGGTAGTTGGAGAGATGGAACTGGGGGTAGAGGGTATGCAGAGGGAAATGGGAGGTAGGAGGGAGAGAATAAGTATAGGAAGAGTAGGGGAGAGAGGACTAGGAGAGAGAATGGAAAACAGGGAGTGGGGGAGGAAACATCTCTAGAACATGCCAGAGACCCATGATGGGGAGGAGAGGCCCCAATGTGTTCATGGTGGTGACCCTAGCAGAGACTCCTAGCAGTGGGAGACATAGAGCCAGAAGCAGCCAGGCAGGACTCCCAGTCTATGGATAATGAACCCAATCAACTCACAAAACTTTTTATTTAAAATTTGAAGCAGAGACTGAGGAAATGGCCAGCCAATGACTAACCCAAATTGAGATTCATCCCATGGGGTGAACCAATTCTTGACACTATCAATGATGTTCTCCTATGCTTTCAGACGGGAGGCTAGCTTGACTATCCTCCGATAGGCTCCACCCAGTAGATGATTGAAACAAATGCAGAGACCCACAGCCAAACATTAGATGGAGCTCTGAGAGTATTGATGGAGATTTGGTGGAAGATTTAAGGAATCTGAAAGGCACAAGAACTCCACAAGAAGACCAACAGAGTCAACCAATCTGGGCTCTTGGGAACTCACAGAGATTGAAACATCAACCAAGGAGCATGCATGGGCTAAACCTAGGCCCCCTACACACATGTAGCAGATGTGCAGCTTGGTGTTCTTGCAGCCCCTAGCAACCTAGGCCCCCTAACAACTAGAGTAGGGACTGTTCCAGACTCAGTTGCTTGGCTGTGAACCCCATTCCCCTAACTATACCACCTTGCCGGGAGAGGATGTTCCTAGTCCTGCAATAACTTGATGTGCCAGGGTGGGTTGGTACCTATTGGGGGGGGGGGGGAGGCTACCCCATTCTTGGAGAAGAAGGAAGGGGATTACGAGGGAGGGTGTATACGAGGGGACTCAGGGGGAAAGAAAGAGGGGTGTGATTGTAATGTAAAGTGAAATTTTAAAATAAAAAGAGGGAAAAAGTATAAATAACAAGCCCAAGCTCAATCAGGGCTGCCCACTTCATAAGTGTTCATGGACTACAGCTATACCACTCTTGACTTCTCAGTCGCCTCTGTCATAAATTAGTATGAACCCTATCTTTGGAGTGTTTATAGCTCTCTCAATGCAATAAATTTTGTATTGGGCCTAATTTTGCTGTCTTTAGCTGTGGTAAATCTTTGTTTGCTTGCTTATTTGTTTGTTTGTGTTCCAATCAGCCTACTATCAAATTCTTTTGTTGGCCAACCAAGAGTATGAAGAACCCTGGATCTAATGACATTCTTAGACAGAACCAATTGCTGTTCTAAAAACTCGCTGGCATGCATCTTGCTTGTGTTCAGAGATTAAATGTTCTTCCCTGAGAAAATATAAAGAACATCTGATAAGCCACCAAATAACAAACCAAGGAAACCAAAGTACTATTCCACCAAAGTGTACCCTGGGGAAACCGGTGAGTTTATTGGTCTTATTTACAGATTATGGGTGCGGACTTCCACACAGGGACCACACCAGAAAAATCTTTACCCTATATGGATGATGGCTACTAGTATGTCAAGAGAGGTCTTTCATGTGTTAACCCTTCACATGCTTTAATGGGGTAGGTATACGGTGGCGTTCAGTGCTGTGGTAGTTTTCTCTCACAAATACTGCCACAGTCTTCTTACCCAGTCTCATAGCTTTGTAAAGTATACACACTGGGGAACATCCCTATTACTCCTTAGAAAGTTCAGGATGACTTCTGGTGAACTTTTCCTCTTGGAGAATTAAAGTAATTGGGCACAAAAATCACATATCATCTTCTGGTTCTTCTTGCTGTTCGTGATATTTTAGAAGTTGAACGTCTGAGAGGCAGGACTTGCTAAGCCTCCACTTAACGAGCCTGAAAGAAAAAGAGTACCAACTCTGGTTAGATGATCCTTAAAATTAAACCTTAAAGCAATTTGAATCTAGAATGAAAGACACTCCAGATTATTTGTAAAACTGTGAATATAACCCCAAAAGGAAAATAATTTCTAATTATTTTTGAGCTATTTAAAACTTGTGTAGATTAAACTAAGGTATAAGTATGCAGATAAAATGGGGGCTTTCAAATTTATTTCATCAGAACATAATTTCAATAATTTCTAATACAAAAAGAAAAGCCTATAATCTGTGGCAAACCCAGATGAAAATGACATTAGTGGAATTTCTCCATTTAGACCAATACATCTTCTTATATTACAAGAAATTGCCTTTTCCTCCAAAGAAAGACACACATAGTATATACTCACTTATAAGTGAGTACTAGACCTATAAGATAGAATAAACATATTAAAATCTGTACACCTAAAGAAGATAAATAAGAAAGAGGCCCCGGGGTAAGATGATCAATCCTCACTTAGAAAGACAAATGGGGTGGACATTGGAAGTAGGAGAAAACACATAACAGGACAGGAGCCTGCCACAGAGGGTAATCTGAAAGACTAGTAGTGTATCAAAGCAGCTGCTGAACTCATAACCAAACCTCGGGCAGAGTGCAGGGAATCATATGAAAGAAGGGGGAATTAGTATGACCTAGAGGGGACAGGAGCTCCACAAGGACCAAATATATCTGGGCACGGGGGTCTTTTTTGAGACTGTTTCTCCAACCAAGGACCATATATAGATATAACCTAGAACCCCTGCTCTGATGTAGCCCATGCTAGCTTAGTATCCAAGTGGGTTCTCTAGTAAGTGGAACAAGGACTATTAGTGATATGAACTCAATGGCTGGCTCTTTGACCTCCCCACCACGAGGGAGAAGCATCCTTGCTATGTCACAGGGGAGGACATTGCAGCCAGTCCTGAAAATACCTGATAAGCTAGGGTCAGATGGAAGGAGAGGAGGATGTCCCCTACCAGTGGACTTGGAAAGGGGCTGGGAGGAGATGAGAGAGGGAAGGTGGGATTGGGAGGAAATGAGGGAGGAAGCTACGGCTGGGATACAAAGTAAATAACCTATAATTAATATAAAAAATAGAAATTATATTAAAAAAGAAAATGCATTCATAAAAAGGATTTGAATCTTAAGATTAACTCAGTTGAGTCTTGATCATACCCGATGAATGCAAGTCATTAACTTACCAGGTAATAAGAACGAAATTAATTCCAATGATGACATAGGTCACTGCATAATAAAAACCAAAGTACACGGCAAGAAGTGATACATTACTGTGATCTTCCAGGTCCCATGCATGAGCTCTATCTTTGGGAAACAGGATAAAAGCAAGCTGTGTTTTAAAACAAAACAAAAACAAAAATGACAAGTGAAAAATGAGACACAGTTATTCAAAGTGCTTGTAATTAGATGATTGCCAGTGTCAGAGACCAGCACAGATAAATGATATTTCTGTACCTATTTTAGTAATATAGACAATATTTATTTAGTCATATTTCTAAACTATCTCAAAGGACTGTTGATCCTTAAAATTGCCATTCTTATTAATCTCCTGATTGGATCAGTTCCAAGGCTCAGGGAACTTCTCCGAAGAGGGGATAGAAGGAATACAAGAGCCAGTAGATACAGAAGAATGTTGTTCAGTGATGTTTTCTGAATAGGACATGGCTGTGCCACTCAGACACTCAAGGAAGATGTGGTTATATGTCTAGAAACAGCCACAAAATAAAGCCAAGAAGCATTCTGGTATAAATGGATGAGGTTCTCTTCACATCCTGACTTCTCCCAAGGAGCTACTGAGAGTTGATAGCTATTGGAGAGGGGAGAGTCATTCTCTTTAGAGGGTATGGCCACTGGTAGATTCCTCATTTGTAGTGAATGATCCCACACAGTATACATGTGGGAATCGCTAATTTGACTTAGGCTTCAACAAAGAGAAGATGGAAAGTTGGTAGAGAGATGGGTTGGCAAGTTATTTAGAGGATGAAAAATAAAATGGGAGAATTATATGATGAATTATAGAATCATCATTCATTGTATGCATAAATGAAATTCTCATGTATAGAGAAAATTGTTCTGTAATATGCAAATTGTCAATAAACACAAGGAAGAGGAGCAACATCATTGCTAGTCAGAGAAAAGTAAATCGAACTGGCAGTGGGGTACCTGCTACTCACTAGAAAGGCAATCATAATAGTAAATAGAAAATAGTAAATATTGGTGAGGGTGCAAAGCAATTGGAATCCATAAACCTGTAAAATGAAACTGTTAAGATGGAAACAGATTGACAGTTTCTCAAAAAGTAAGATTTTGAATGACCATATGACCTGGCATTCTACTACTTAGGAATGCCTCTGTGTTCAAACGACAAGGTGCAAATAAATGTTCATGGCAGCACGATGACTAGCCAAAGATAAAAAAAGAAAAATATTAATATAGTCAATAATGTAAATGAAACTTGAAAATATGTTGAGTGAAAATGAGCACAAAGAGTAGGTTATGTGTTGTCCTTTTTGATATAAAATATCTATAATAGGTGGGGTTAGAAAATATATTAGTGGTTGGAAAAGCCTGAGAGACAAAACAAAGGCTAAAAACTGCTAATTGGGTATAGGGTTTTCTTTGTGGTGATAAGAATGTTTGGGGGATCATTAGAGGTAGTAACGTATGACATTAAGAATAAATGCTGCTGAATTCTATCCTTGAAAAATGTACGTTATATGAACTTTATCCCAATAAAAATGATAGATGATAGATCAACTGATTTCAGATCCCTAGAGAAAAATGAAATATAGAAATCTTGATAACACCATAGTTAATTATACAAATGCTAGGGTAAGCTGGCCGTGCATCCATTTCAATGCCTTCAAGTTCCTTTCAATTACCTCTTTTGAATGTATTATATATCTCTTTAATTATGTTTTCTTCATTTCACAAATAATGAAATTTTACAAAAAAAATATGTAATTGGCCTGTGTAGTCTAAAGCCTTAATTTAATTTCTCCCTTAAATTTCAGATAGTCTTAGTCGGTAGAAACTAAGATTTCTTTTTTGCTTTAATCAGGTGGTCCCCATGTATAGATTCCCTTTAATAGGAATGAGAACTACAACTTTTATTTCATATATATGATCATATTTTGGGTATATGCCTATATATATATATAGGAGTGGTATAGCTGGATCTTGAGGTAGCACTATTCCTAATTTCCTGAGAAAGCACCAGATAGATTTCCAAAGTGGTTGTACCAGTTTACATTCCCACCAGCAATGGAGGAGGACTCCCCTTTCTCCACATCGTCTCCAGCATGTGCTATCACTTTAGTTTTTTATCTTAGCTATTCTGATAGGTGTAAGGTGAAATCTCAGGGTTGCTTTGATTTGTATCTCTCTAGTGATTAAGGATGTTGAGCATTTCTGTAAGTGTTTTTCTGCCATTCAATATTCTTCTATTGAGAACTTTCTTTTCAGTCTGTATCCCATTTTTTAATTGGATTACCTGATTTGATGCTGTATAAATTCTTGAGTTCTCTATATATTCTGGATATTAGCCCTCTGTCAGATAAAGGGTTGGTGAAGATCCTTTCCCAGTCTGTAGGCTGTTGTTTTGTTCGTATATATGATCAAGTGATACACACCATATGCAAACCAGTTTATCTTTATGTATGCATAATCACTTTGAAATAATCTTTAGTCTTAAAAAAAAATAGCCTCATAAAGGAGGTTTCATTATCCCTCCTGTTATAAGGCTGGAACTCGAAATGTCAATAATTTTGATAAAGGTAAAAACTTCTGAATGACCCAGACAGTACTCCAGAGCAGAAGTGCCTGGCTTTTGCTACTACAGTCTCTCTCAGCATATAGTCTCTCTTTATTGGTCAATATGGAAGGATGGTGGACTGAACAACTGGGTTAGCATGAGTCATCTCAGCAGTTTGAACAATCACAGCCAAGAAGGAAGTTTGTCCCATGAAGACATGTTAATTTCTTATGCCTAAAACACATATTTTCTATTCAGTTGACCATGATACTGTTCTTCCCGTCACCTGAAAATGCTTTCTTGTAACTCATGTGAAACATAAACACTTGAAAGAGCATGAACAAACCAGCAGACTGTTTCCTGAGCCCTATTGTCAGGGCCAACGCTATATCTGCCTGCCAAGAAATCCTGCCTGCATCAGAAACATCAAACCAACATAAGGGACAACCAGATCGCTAAAGGCCAGAGCAAAACCACAATCAACAACAGTCAGGGCACCACCAAGACCCTAGTTACCCTAATATAGCAAACACTGGAAATCTTAACAGAGCTGAAGAACAAGAAGATGAGCTTAAATCAAAACTTATAAAAATGGTATCTTTAAAGAGGAAATGAAATACTTTAAAGGAATACAGAAAAATAGAATCAAACAGGTGAAGGAAATGAAAAAAAAACTGTTTTAGACATGAAGATAGAAATAGAGCAATAAAAGGAAACACAAACTGAGGGAATCTTGGAGGTAGAAATCCTAAGAAAGAAAACAGAAATTACAGACACAAGCATCACCAACAGAATACAAGAAATGAAAGAAAGAATCTCAGGTGTCAGATATGACTAAAGAAATTGATACATTGGTCACAGAAAATACTAAATCCAAAAAGTGACTGACACAAAACATCCAAGAAATCTGTGACACCATGAAAAGAACAAATATAAGAATAATAAGAATAGAAGAAAGAGAAGATTCCCTTCTCAAAGGCCCAGAAAATATTTTCAACAAAATAATAGAAAAAAAATTTTCCCAATTTAAAGAGATGACTAAAAGTATACAAGACCTACGGAACACCTAATTGATTATACCAGAAAAGAAAATCTTCCTATCGCATAATAATCAAAACACTAAATACATAGAACAAAGAATATTAAAAGTTCGAAAGGGAAAAGGCCAAATAACGTATAAAGGCAGATATCAGAATTACACTCAACTTCTCAACAACACTCTAAAAGCCAGGAAAGCCTGAAGAGATGTCTTACAGGAGGCTCTAAGGGAACACAGATGTCAGCTCAGATTACAACACCCAGCATAACTTTTAATCACCATAAATGGAGAAAACAAGATACTCCATGAAAAAAAAATGTAAACAGTATCTATCCACAAATCCAGCCCTACAGAAGATCCTAGAAAGAAAACTCCAACCTAAGGAGGATAACTACACCCATGAAAACATGAGAAAAAAAGTACCTTTACACCAGCAAAACCAAAAGAAGGAAAACACACACACACATACACATACACTACCACCACCAACATCAATGTAACAGGAATTTAACAGTTATTGGCCATTAATCTCTCAATACTGATGGACTCAATTTCCCAATTAAAAAGTAACAGGCTAACAGAAAGAATGGGTGTGAAACAGAATCCATCTACCTCCTGTATACAAAAAAAGCATACCTCATCAAAAGAGATACATATTACCTCATAATAAAGGGCTGGATAAAGGTATTCTAAGCAAATGGACCCAAGAAGCAAGCTGGAGTAGCCAATCTAATATCTAATAAAATAGACTTTCAACCAAAATTAATCAAAAGAGATGGGGAAGGACATTTCTTCATCAATATGACATCTCAATTCTAAACATCTGACACAAATATAAGAGCACCCACATCTGTAAAAGAAACATGACTAAAGCTTAAATCACACATTGAAACCCATACACTAAAGTGGGAGACTCTAACACTCCACTCTCACCAAAGGACAGGGTATCAAGAACGAATCTAAACAGAGAAATAATGAAACTTACAGATGTTCTGAATCAAGTAGACTGAACAAATATCTAGAGAACATTTCACCAAAACACAAAAGAATATACCTTCTTCTCAGCACCTCACAGAACTGTCTCCAAAATTGACCATATAATCACAAAACAAGTCTCAACAGAAACAAGAAAACTGAAATAACACCTTGCCTCTTATCAGACCACCATGGATTAAAGCTGGCCTTCAACAGCATCAGAAGCAACAGAAAACCTACAAATTCATGAAAACTGAACAAATCTCTACTCAACGGCAGCTGGGTCAGGAAAGAAAGAAAGAAATAGACGACTTTCTAGAATTTGGGGAAAACAAAGGCACAACATACCCAAACTTATGGGACACAATGAAAGCAGTGCTAACAGGAAAAACAAAAACATGTTCACATATCATAAAACAAAATGTCCACAACAGGGTGACCCTAGCTGAGACTCCCATCAGCAGGGATATGGAGCCTGATGTGGCTACCTCCTAGAGCCAGGCATGACTTTCAATAGAGGGAGAGGACACCAACACACCCTCAAACCATTTGACCCAAAATTTTCCCTGCCTATAAGATGTGCAGAGATAAATATAGAGCAGAAATGGAAGAAATAGCCAACCAATGACGGGCCCAACTTGACACCAACGCCATGGGAAAAAGCCAACCACTGGCACTATTAAAAATACTCTGCTATGCTTGCAGACAAGGGCCTAGCATAACTGTCTTCTAAGAGGCTTCATCCAGCAGCTGATGGAAACAGATGCGGAGACCCACAGTAAAACATTAGGTGGTGCTTGGAGAGTCTTGTGGAAGAGATGGGGGAAGAACTGAGGGAGCTGGAGGGGGCAAAGACACAACAAGAAGACCTACAGAGTAAACTAACCTGGGCCCATGGGGGCTCACAGAGACTGAACCACCAACTAAGAAAAGCATGCATGAGCTGGACCTAGACCCCCTACCCATATGTAGCAGATGTGCAACTTGGTCTTCATGTGAGTCCCCTAACAATGGGAGTAGGGGCTGTCTCTGCCTTTGTTGCCTGCCTTTGGATCTCTTCCCCCGGCTGGGCTGCCTTGTCTGGCCTCAGTGGAAGAGAATGCTACAACATGATGGGCCAGGACAGGTTGGTACCCCTTTGGGGCCTCCCTTTCTCTGAGGAAAAGGAAAAGAGAGGAGAGGTTTGAGGATGGGAATGGGAGAACAGGGAAGAGGGGCTGAAATCAGGATGTCAAGTGAATAAATAAACTAATGGAAAGAAAAGAATATCTACCTCTTGGTCTCTACTCATCCAGGATTTTTCCTTGTGTTCCCTTAATATTCTACATGTGGTGGCATTGTCTCCACTAATATGGATGCATGTCTGTCAGCTAAGTTTATATGAAAAACAATTAGAAAAGAATTGCCTAGTTCCATTATTGTAAAAGCCTTGCAACATAACTTAATCTTCTTGAATCTTGCTACTAATAGGGTAGAGATGATAATACCTAACTGCTAATTGTCATAAACAGAAAGAAATGTGTTCATAAGAATCTAGTAAACGATAAACTTGGCATATACCTGTAAGCCCAGCAAAGAGATCCTGAGGCCTTGGATTTTAGGATTCAGAGTTCAAGGCCAACCTGTGACACCTAGTAGAACAATCTCTCAAAAAATGTTTTTTCAACATTGGAGGAAGGAGAAAACAGGGATCAGGATAGGAGCCTACCAAAGAGGGCCTCTGAAAGGCTCTACCCTGCAGGGTATCGAGGCATATGCTGAGACTCATAGCCAAACTTTGGGCAGAGTTCAGGGAATCGTATGAAAGAAGTGGGAGATAGTAAGACCTGGAGAGGACAGGAGCTCCACAAGGACAGCAACAGATCCAAAAAGTCTGGGCACAGGGGTCTTTTCTGAAACTGATATTCTAGCCAAGGACCACTCATGGAGATGGCCTGGAACCCCTGCACGGAGGTAGCCTAGGCAGTTCAGTGTCCAAGTGGCCTCCATAATAATGGGGACAGGGACTGTCTCTGACATGAACTGATTGGCCTGACCACCTCACCCCGAAGGGGAAGCAGCCTTACCAGGCCACAGAAGAAGACAATGCAGCTACTCCTGATGAGACCTGATAGACTTGAATCAGAGGGAAGGGGTGGAGGACCTCCCTTATCAGAGGACTGGGAAAGGGACAGGGGTGGGGAAGAGGGAGGGTGCTACAGGGAGATACAAAGTGAATAAACTGTACTTAATAAAAATAATTTAAAAAAGAATTTTTTTTCATTAAAATAGCAAAATATTCTTGTTTTGCAATTAAAAAAAAAACAGGCTCTGCACTTTCCTGCCTTTCTTATATTTCTGGAGTTAGGCCATAAGCTCTTAGCATCAAGAACAGATAATGACTAATGTCATCAACTTAGAGTTTCTACATAGTGGATAGTCAGATGTGTGACAACAGGCACATCCTACCTCCTTCTCAGCTGCTCTTCCACAGTTCCCACCAGAAACCCTGCGTCCCTTAACAACATAACCGCTTAAAGACCGACAGTTTCACTGTAGGGAGCATGTCATAGGAACATCTATTGGAAGTCTGTTGGAAACTACCTCTTTAAGTAGGAGGAGAGGCCGCGCGTACAGACAGGATAGAGCTGGAAAACTCAACTCACCTGAAGAAACCACATCCCCTGTAGCATCATAAGACTTGACCTCATGAGCTCCAGAGCCACATTGTTCTCTGTGGAGAGGAATTCTAGAAAGGCAACCAGTCCTGCCAAAAGTCCAGCAAAGCTCACTAGTTGATGCGCAAAGCTCTCCACCAACATCCGGCCATGATTGTGGTTGAAGAAAATGAAAGCTAATAGGGTAGAAAAAAAAAAAAGTTGTATTTGTTTTTCAAATAAAAAATTCAACATTTTTCTCTTACACCTTCCTTCCTTTTCTATATACATAATTTCACACACCAATACAGCTGATTAAAAGAAGAGGTCCCAATCTCAGGAAAGACTCCTGTGCCCAGACTTTTTGGTTACCCAGGACCATGCATGGAAATAACCTAGAACCCCGGCACAGATGTAGCCCATGGCAATTCAGTGTCCAGGTGGGTTCTTAGTCATAGGAATAGGGACTGTCTCTGACATGAACTCAGTGGCTGGCTCTTTGTTCACCTCCCCCTGAGGCGGGAACAGCCTGACCAGGCCACAGAAAAAGCAGAAAGTCCTGATGAAACCTGATAGTCTAGGGTCAGAGGGAAGGGGAGGAAGACCTCCACTATCAGTGGACTGGGGAAGGGGCAAAGGAGGAGAAGAGAGAGAGTGGGTGGGATTGGGAGGGAACAAGGAAGGGGCTACAGCTGGGATAAAAAGTGAATAAACTGTAATTAATAAAAAAATTAAAAATGAAAAAAGAGGTCCCCACTGAGTCTCCCAGCAATGCAGTTTGATGATTTTTTTTTTTCAGTTATCACTGCCTATTTAGAATGGAATTCTTGAAATTCAACCTTCCCTTTCCTTCTCCAACCTTTATTTTCTTTCCTAACATAAAATTTTCAACTAACTGATTTTTAAAAGCATTATTATGCAAGCTGATAAATAACAAACATGGCAGGGCAGGGAGCTACAATTCGTATGAATATGCAGTTGAGTAAGTTGAAGCCAAAGCCTTGCCTTATGGGCGTCCATGTCCTAAACGAACAAGGGAACACATCATAAAGCACATCTCAGTAAGAGTGGCAATACTATCTGCAAGTAGCCTCCAAGTGCATTGTCTTCTTACATAAGCATACTCCAATTTCACCTTAAACTTGTCATTAAGCTAGACGACAAGAATGTTCATTAAGACATGGAACCAGGCTATTAGTTATCTCAATTCATTCTTTTTTTTTTTTTTTTTTCTGGCCTTGGTCCTCAAGGAGCAACAGGCAGGAACCATTTTCTTCAGACAGGAGGAGAGCAGCCTCCTAGCCACTTGTAGCATTCAGAGTTCCATAACCAATCTACTACCTCACCTCTTCATTAGAGAGCTTTCCTTACCCACCAAAGCAATTTTAGAAGACACGTGAACAAAACAGATGATTTCTTTTTCACTACTCTCTCAAAATTAGGACTTCCAATGCTAATGTGATTGAATTTTGCAGACTTTGTGCATACTGGCATTATACATACAAATTTTGTACATATATAGTTTTACTATTGTATTGGTGATTTAAAAGCTAGTTGTCAGGTGACAGAATATATTAACAGCTAGCTACCCATTTAAGGATTCATGTTTTCATTACTCTGGGCTTTTTATAATTAAATTTTTCTTTTTTATTACAGTTTATTCACTTTGTACCCCAGCTGTAGCCTCCTTCCTTTATTCCCTCCCAATCCCACCTCCTCTCCCTCATCTCTTCCCATGCCTCTCTCCAAGTCCACTGATAGGGGAGGTCCTCCTCCCCTTCCATCTGACTCTAGCTTATCAGGTCTCATCAGGACTGACTGCATTGTCCTCTTCTGTGGCCTGGTAAAGCTGCTCCTCCCTCAGGGTTGGGGGTGGTCAAAGAGCCAGCCACTAAGTTCATGTCAGATACAGTCCCTGTTCCCATTACTAGGGAACCCACTTGGATACTGAGCTGCCATGTGCTACATCTGAGCAGGGGGGGTTCTATGTTACATCCATGAATGGTCTTTGGTTGGAGTATCAGTTTCAGAAAAGACCCCTGTGTCCAGATTTTTTGGTTCTGTTGCTGTCCTTGTAGAGCTCCTGTCCTCTCCAGGTCTTACTATCTCTCCCTTCTTTCATAAGATTCCTTGCAGTCTGCCCAAAGTTTGGTTATGAGTCTCAGCATCTGCTTTCAAACACTGCTGGGTAGAGTCTTTCAGAGGCCTTCTGTGGTAGGCACCTGTCCTGTTTTTCTGTTTTCTTCTTCTTCCAATGTCTGTCCCATTTGTCTCTCTGAGTGAGGATTGATCATCTTACCCAGAGTCCTCCTTCTTGCTTAGCTTCTTTAGGTGTACAGATTTTAGTTAGTTTATTCTATATTATATGTCTAGTATCCACTTATAAGTGAATATCATTACTCTAGGTTTAATTTTCATTGTTAAAAATATAAAAAAGATAATTGCTAATAAATAAGGTTCTTTCAGGACAGATGCAAAACACTAATAACATCAAATGGTTGTTATCTGCCCAATGTTACAGAATGAACAGTAAAAAAGAAAACTCTTCAGCATCCTATAGAGGATACCCAAATTTTTTGTTGTTGTTGCTTTTCTTTTCTTTCTTCTCTTTCTTTCTTCCTTTCTTTTTTGAGACAGGGTTTCTCTGTAGACTTGGCTATCCTGTCACCAAAATCCCTGATCAAACTCACAGAAATCTGCCTGCTTCTGCTTCTCTGAGTGCTGGGATTAAGGGCATGTTGCCACCATGCCTGACTCCAAATATTGTAATATGGCCCAGATACTTTGTCTTGTCAATCAATACTGCACTAAGAAAGTAAAGGTATTTTATTATACAGGGTTACTGTTACCCAGATGCTTAACATTAGAGACAAGCACAGGAAAAAGGGGGAGAGAAACCACAACCCCGACATACTTACCCTCCACAAAGAAGGCATTTGACAACATTAACTTGACCAAAGAGACTGGAAGTGAACTAATGGTGAAACATAAGATCTTGGTCACACCTAGCAATGCAAAGAAGGTGTACATGACGACATGATGCCAGTGCAGGATTTTAATCAGCCGGTATTCTTTATCTGAATACTGACCTCCATTTTTAAGCACAGAAAACAGTCCAATTATTCCTGTAGGAAAATCATACCACAGTTTTAGAAACCTTCTACATATTTGACCTAAAATATACATGCAGGAAGATATGACCATTATTTATTTCAATCTACTGTCCTCTTCAAACATCACTTCTTCTCCAGGTGGTTCCCTAACAGCTTCGTAGGAACACTTTAGACTTTCTTTTCGTTGTTGTGGTTGGTTGGTTAGTTAGCTGTTTGGTTTGTTTCAAGCCAGGGTTTTTCTTGTGTAGCCCTGGATGTCCTGTAACTCTGTTCTCTATACCAGGCTGGCATTGAACTCAAAGATATCTGCCTGCCTCTGCCTCGCTAGGAACAGAATTAAAGTAATGTGCCACCATTGCCCAGCCACTTTAGACTTTAAGGTTCAAATGCTCACCGAGATGACCATATTTAGTATAAACAAATGCTGAAGTGTCTATTCCAACCTAATGTCTGAGGTTTATGAGACTGTTATATAGAGGTTGACTGTTCATTTCCCAACTATTAGTCCTTTTGGGAGCCACTAGGTAAAGGATTGCCCTTAGTTCCTGAGTTCAAAACAAAAATTAAGATTTACTTTCCTCTAGCTAATGATAAACAAGATCCCCAGTTAATATGGTGTATGGTACAATCAGTTGCACAAGCACTTGAACTTCCTCAGAGATGCTGGCTTACTTACCAACATATTTAAGTTTGTAGATAAGTTCTTCTCTTTGGAAACAGTATGAGTTATATCAAAGACCTCTTTTCATGAATAAAACACACACACACAAAAAAAAAACTTAATGGAAAAACTAGAGAGAGGGCTACAGCTGGGATACAAAGTGAATAAATTGTAATAAAAATTTTTAAAAGAAATAGGCCTTTGTATAAACCTGAAATACCAACTTCTAAACAAGTTACATTATATAGAAATTCTAATTAGAAAATTTAGTAAATATTTAATAAAACATTCAGCTTTGGAGTTCCTTGGTTTTATAAAGAAAAAAATTTTGTGCACATAAAAACACCAAAATGGAGAAAATAAAACACAGTAAGCCAGCTCACCTGTTAGTACCATGCCAATAATCACAATTCCCTCCAAAATTTCTGCTCGAGTGAAAAAATTTTTGGTAATAAGGAAGGAAGCTCTCTTTTGATGTTTACAAACAAACTTCAGAATACTCTTCATACTCCACCAAAAAGCCACAATAAAGAATAGGAGTCCAGGAAGGGCATGACCTGGGAAATCCCCACTGACCTTCAAAGATACAAATATACAGGTAATAGACATTTCATTTCTAAAATATCACCATATCATTTCAAATCCCCAAACAGCAGATTATCTTCTTATGGCTATTAGCACATAATATATCATATTATAGTCTCAACTATGTAAATAAAAAATTAAAACTCACTTTTGACACGATAATGCACAGTGTGAAAAGAGGTTTTAATGCCATCTCTGGCCCATCTTGCAAAGCATACCCATGGATAAGAGATTAGTATTCCATTTGCAATTGAGGTATGAGTTTACAGGAATTTAATGAATCCCCCAGATCTCACAACTATTAAGCAAACTTTTGTTGGTTTTAACATCAGGATTTTGTTAAGAGACAGTATTCACTTCATCAACACTTGCTTTTTAAGAGTAAATGAAAGTAATATGAAACCTTGAAACTGCTCTAAACAAGCAGTTGTTTAGAGTTTGAAATGATACAAAGTTGCCTATGAACTTCTCCCATATATATGATTTCCAAGTATCAAGGACCAAGTGTGTGAGACTATTAGCATTCATTAAACATTGGTGTGTTCTTCCACAGTTTCTCAGCCACTCCTGCAGGTGGACTGGAACCATGGTTTTAGTTCTGGCCAGCTGACTAGGGAAGGAACTGCCACATGTCACTTCCAGGCTGAGTCACGGAAGTCTGCATGATTCCCTCAGCACTCTCTGTCGCATTGACAACTTTGGCCTGATTGCAACACGGAGGATTAGAAACATACTGCCTCAGAGTTCCAAAGGAAAATGGCCTTGAAGAGTGTGATTGTCTTTTCATTTTGTGTATCAACCTTTGTTCAAATATACTGTGCCATCAGTAGAACAGTGATGACACATTCTAGAATCATTCTATGGGTTTAACATTAGGTTAGAGCTAAGCACAATTATGAAAGAGGACTTCAGAATATCCTCTGGTCAGAAAAGTAGGCTCCCTCAGTTCAGGGCAGACCCCCGTGGGTTATTCCTCTGAGATTTAAAGGGAAACTCTGGGGGGAAAAAGCGTGAAGTTGACCCAAATACTGCCAGTATCATATCTGCAATAAAGATCCCATATTCTCCTTTCAGTGTACCCATAAATCACACAAACCATCTAAGTTTCAGATTCAGTTTGTCTCACAGTACTGAGGATAGGTTCTCATCCTAACTCTGAGGAATGGCTGGGCCCTGTCTTTTGGCTTCTCTAAGCACTACTTCTTAATAAATATAATATGAGTATAAGTTGGCATCATTTCTTTCCCAAATGATTTGACAGGTAGTGGAATAGTTGAGGGTCCACACAGCCTACAGCACTGCAATTCTGTTTATAATACATGCTCTAGAAATGTGTTACATATGTCTTCTTCTCGTGCGTATACGTAAAAAAAAAATGACATTGCTACACCGAGTGTTGAAAATAAAACCACAATCTTAATATTCACCAATAGATAAATCAATGAATAATACACTCTAACATGTACACAAAGTTTTATTTGATAATTATGAAAAAACTGCAATTAACATTCATGTGCAGGCTCTAGTATGACCAGAATTTATTTAAGTAAATAAGTATATTTTCCAATATGTATTGATTCTTAATTTTAAGTATTTTATATTTTTAATACAATTTTAATTTATTATTTGAAAATTTCATATATGTAGTTAGTGCATTTTGATTATATTCACTCCTAAACCCCGGTTCAAATTCTTCCAGACACACCTACATCCTCTTGACAACTTTATGTTCCTTTTTAAAAATACATAATTGAGTCCAGATAGTGAAGCCCATAAATGCATGGGCCATTCACCAGAGCCAACACACCAAGACACACCAACTAATGAACACCAGCTCTCCTTCACCTAATGCTCATAACTATAAATAATTCTACAACTAGGGCTGGGGCTCATGTGCTTCCCCACTCTCATGGAGAGACTTTTTTGTGTGAATTAAGTTGGATGGAAAATTCAAGTGTCAAAATACTGTTGCAGTTTGGATAGTGGTTATCCTACCAAAAGCAACCTACATATTCACCATGAAAATTCTGATACACTTCTTCACGGAAATTGAAAAGACAAGACATGGACATATAAGTGCTCCAGGATAGCTGAAACAATTCTGAACAACAACAACCACAAACATCTGTATGTTTCATCATTTCCAATTTCAAGTCATATCACAGAATTATTGTAGTAAAAACACCATTGTGCTGGCATTTTAAAAAGTGGTTCATTGGCCAATGGTATGTAATTGAAGACTCAAATATACATCCATATTCCTGCTACTACTTGATTTTTGACAATGAAGACAATAATATACAGTGGAGAAGACATCTTTGACAAATAATGCTGATCATACTAGATAGTTTTTAAAAGGCTGAAAATAGATCTCTATCTTTCACCCTTCACAGAACTCAACTCCATGTGAATAAAGGACCTCAACATAAGACTTGATATCTTATCTTAGAAACAGAAAGCAGGGAATAGGCTTGAACCAGTTAGTTCAAGAAATGGTTTTCTCTACAGGAGCCCAATCACATAGACATTAAGACAAATAATAAGTTGGACCTTATAAAATTAAAAAGTTTCTGTACAGCAGAGAATATCATCACTAAAGTGAAAAGGTAGCTTACAGAATAATAATAATATTAAAATATCAACTATACATCTGACAAAGAGTTAATATCTAAAATACACAGCTCAAAAAATTTAACAAGTGAACAAACATCCCAGTGTAAAACTGGAAAATAAAACTAAACAGAGCGTTCTCAAGAAAAGAAATACAAATGTCTGAGAAAAGTTTTTAATGTTCAACATCCTTAGATATCAATGAAATACAAAGTGAAACTTCCTTGAGACATTCATAAAACTAAGATATTTTAAAGTTGTCAATACAGGGTGAAAGATGACAAGAATAGAAGAAATACTCTATTTAAGGTCTTGGATTCCAAATTACTGTAGCCAACAGAACTGTGTTGTATGATCTTCAAGGTCAGCTGCCCTATCTAGGACCCCTTGAAGAGCTAATTAAAAAATAACCAAAAATTATATCCTGCTAGATCACACCCTGCCCCTGCCACATCTAAACTCCAGGGCTAGCCAAGTTGCATATCCTATCCTTTGGTCCAGTCTGATGAGCTCCCTAGACCCTAGCATGCCTTCATTTCCCCCATCCCCATCCCCAGACCTACCTCAGGTCACACATCTTCTGTGGACAAGCTCACCGTAAGTCCCAACCTCAACTTTCCCAACCTCCAGGCTTGAACCTAGTGCACCATCTCAATCCAGCACGTCCTCAAACACGAACATATCTGGCAAATATCCAACTTCCAGACCTAGCCCAGGATGCATATTTGTGCGCTTACATAGCCTGGTGAATCCCTGGAATCATACCTACCAATGCTATCCCCAACCCAAAGGCCTAGCCTCAGTTGCAGAGCCTGTAAGATAGGCCGAAAATAAATCTATCATTTGTCCTATCTATGACATTCTTTGGCCCAACAGACTCAACATCCTGCTCCACAAATGCTTGTTCAGCTATCTGGTTGGTATTCTAGCCACAATAGCCAGAAAGTGGAAACAACCTGAATGTTATTCAATTGATGCCTGATAATGCAAATGTGCTACCTATATATAGTGGAATAGTATTAAGCTATAAAAATTACATAATGATATTGTAGAAAAGTGGAGCTGGAAGACACTGGTTGAGATAAGCCAAACCTGGAACTGCAAATTCCATGTATTTTCTCTTATTTGTGGATCCTAGCTATGAATCTTGGTACATGAGTATACCTTGGTTCTCCAGTCGGCAGGGGCATTGATCTCTGCTGGGATCCTGGAGTATGGCTTCCAGACCAAGAACAGGAGTTGTGTTTCTCTCAGGAACACCTAGAGCTCCTTAGGGGGAGGCCCGAGTACACTAGCCTAGGGTGTGCAAAAGGCTGTCTACAGAGTGTTACAGTTTAGCTCTTTTAGCATGTCACCTGCGGTGATGGAAGGTTGGGTGTTCCAAAGCCTATGGCAAAAACAAAGTATTAAAGCTCTTGGTCAAGCTCAGCAAGAGGAGGGAGGTGAGGAGGCCCAACGAGAAACAACCCTGCAGAGGATAAGTGATGACTCTCAGATGGTCTTGAAGTGAGAAATTGAGAACCTTTATTCATGTGAAATCAAGGGCAGAGGGAGGGATTTCAGAAATGTGTTTGACTCACCTGGGTCAGGGCATCAGACACATTCAATGGTCCTATCACGAGATGGAAAATAAAGCACTTAATTATCCTATGTGTGTGGGGGGGAGGGGCCTCTAAATATAATTGAAGGTTACTGCTGCACTAAGATCGTTAAAGAGTGGGGCGTTTGTAGGAATTGCTAGATGCTTGCTAGAGCAGTTTCCTTATCAGGAAAGAGTCTGGCCTGCAATCTGACCTGATGGATACATGATGTTCCTTGCAAAACCTGAGATCAGCTTGATCAGGGGAGACTTTTAAAGCGTCACCGAGAAAAGGGAGTTTATTATCATAGGCTGAATGCAAATAGTTGGCTATCCAGAGATGACTGACTTCCACGTTATCCAGCAGAGAACCACAAGTACACAAACTAGAGTAATCACAGAAACAAGGAAATTAAAAGAAACCATGAGGGAAATAAAGGGCTCTAAAGAGATGGATAGTTGAACACAGGTGCTATGAAGAGGGAAGTGGAAAAGAAGGGGTATTTTTTTTTTCTAGGGATGAAGTAAAAAGACTAAAACTGAGGAAGAGGAACAAAAAAATACCTAGGCTGATTCAAAAATCCATAGGAGAGAGCATATTAGTTTCTGTTGACTTAAAGAAATACGTTTCCTATACATAAGTGCATATGTACACATGCACAAATAATTTAAGTTATGACACTTGAGGTGACAATGCACTCCAAGAATCCAGAGACTGTTGTGCCAACAATAGACTACTTAACAAATCTCCAGTTTCAGGTATGGGAAACTTCCCATTGAGCTGTTGGTGAGGAGAGTCCAAGAGACCCCCTAAACAATGTAGGCTGTTGCCACTGTCCTTGGTTGCCTCCAAGATTCCTCATATCACTGAAGACACCACACACTCCAGATAGAGGACTTGGAGAAATGGAACTGAAACTTATTTGAAAAATCGCTCCCTGGATTTGAGTTTTAATACTACTGAAAGGTGCTATGCAGGCTGCCAAGGGAGAAAAGCAATCAAT